TTAAACTCTGGAAACCCAATATTGAGAAGATAATAGTCATGATTCCAAGATATTACGCTGGACCGATTTACAGATACTTCACTAATCAGACAATTCATCCCTCATTTTAAGAAATTTGATTGAGATACTTCACCCCTATATTTTAAAAGGCCAATATCACAAAGATTTTTGTTTCTAAATATATAGTAAATACATTTATATACAGACATAAATACAAAGCTATTAATTAGTTGACATGATTGTTTAATGATGTTATAGTTAAATTTATTTATATTCCTAATAAAGTAACAGATTTATGGTGAATAATTTTGATTTCTAAGTTTATATTTTAGGAGTAATCATAGTTGCACTATAGCTATTGTTTGAAGATGAATGGAATAAAGTAATATATATTCTAAGTATAAACCCACTTTAGTGACAAATTAGCGCTTTAAATTTGTACTTATTGTTCATAAAGTGTGCTTTTTATTTTTGTATTCTTTGTTTTGACATAATGGATGATTTTTGTATTAGATACAACACTGTTAATTTAAAGAACTTTAATGCTATAATAGAAACATAACTTATTATGTGATTCATTCATTCATGCATTAATTAATTAATTCATTCATTCATTTTCTTATTCATTCATTCTCTCATTAATTAATTAATTAATTCATTCATTCATTCATTCACGCAAAAATTCTCCTTTAATCCTATTAACTATTAGAATCAATAATGAGATATCTGTAAGAATAATGAAATAACTGTTGAATTAACCAATGATCAATCAACATCCTGAATATTAAACAAAGGTTACTTTAAGTATTTAAAATAAACATATATAATATTGGTTTGTTGTTGAATTATTTATTAAAAATATTGGATGTAGGTTGAAGTGTCTAGCTGATTTTGAGGGTTGAAATGTCTTGAGGACTGATGTATCTTTAAAATGTTTAGGTACTTTTGGTTGTAAGTAAGTTTAAACTGGAACGACTTTAATGTTTTACCTAGTTCAAAGAAAATATAAAGTGACTGAAACAATCACCAATACACTTGTGACAGTTCATTCAAAGTTTGTGTGCTATGATATTTTCAACAACAGAAATGACTTTTCAAATGCCTACTTGTAACGGACGATTTAATTGGATGACTAAAATTAGCAAAGTCGGGAATTCCAAATCAGATGACGGCGAATCAAATAAGATGGATATCAGATCTACATGAAATTAATAAGAAGATCTGAGCTTTAGTAAGATTGAATATTAGCGTGTCTTAATACTATGTTTCTAAAACGCAAATGACGTCATGCCGAAACGGTTATGTTTATGTTTTTAAGTTTCTAACAATATCTTAATTTTTGATGGAGTATGAGATTCACGTTCAAAAAGGTTGTTCATTGTTAAGAGATGCAGTTGTGCGAAGAGTCTCCTTGATCTAGTTAATACTCTCAACTTTTGCAACCTAAGCAAACGAGTCTCATTTGAATTTCATAATTTTATGTATACTGTTGACATTAATAAATAGCCGAAGTATTATTAACTCACAAGCGGCCTAAATCAACATATAATCTAACGTAATTCTGTTTTAACCAGTCAAGTCCTAAAATTATATTCCTGTTCATATTTTGCAACAACATACTATATCTCTGGTTCATTTTTGAAAATTACAAAGTCATTTATATTTAAAAGACAAAAAACAAAAACACATGTATTGTGTTTTAGTTTCTATAGATTATATGATGCAAAAGACACACTTCAGTACGTGAATCAACTTAAGATATGTATTGATGGTTTTGAATTCTGAAAAGACAAGAATTAGGACTACACCTTTTACCCAATACATTTTACAAAACAAACCCCTGCAGTTGGTTGTGTTAATAACATAATGTCAGTAAATATAAGTTTATAGCAACACTAATATGATATACTGTAAATTGATAAATTTGCAGCGCAAAATTTTAAAATATATGTGTACAAAAGTGTCGGATTTGATTCTTTATTTCTAATTTATCATTAAGATGAGTAATGACCAAGGAACCGGAATAGAGATGGATAAAATATGATCGTTTGCTTTAATAATCAAAACAAACAATTCTAGGAAATGAAAAAAATACACAAGCCGACCTCAGTCTACGAAAAAGGGCGGAGTATATATTTGTCAATCCTGAGCCATAAACACGATCGCCATTTTTTAAAAGTGTGTGTCACGCCAGGAAATAATAACTTGTATTTGATTAGGAGGGATTACATTTGCATTTGATAATGTTAAATCTATTTAGCATATGCCCAAATATAACTAAGAGCGGTTTTGGATGTGGGAGGAAGTGTAATTATCAGACTGTTATATATGATATAAACATTAGAGAAGATATTTTGGTGATCGACAAATAAAATGAATTGAACTATTTTAATTTTCATCTTTTATGTTCCCAAACGTATTGTTTATGCTATGTAGCGGCCGAAAAAAGTCTACCCGCACATACAACCAATTCTGTTACATTTTCATCCAAAGGAATTGTCGACGTTCATTGTTTGTTGCCCACATTCATGTTCTGTCTATATTTCCAATTTAGAATAAAAGAGTCCCTCTCCTGATTATGTCCAATCCTGGGTTTGTCTGGGGCTGCGTCCTGTGCACCGTGCCTTTGCCTTGTTGATCTTTATTCTCGTCTTTTATTTGTATTAATTACGTTTAAAATCTAAGTTATTTATTAGGTTCGGCTTAACTCTGCTCTAAACAAGTCTTATTATTAAGGTACCACATAGGAAACAGATTTTTAAAAATGAAGTCCAAAATTAAAAGTAAAAACATTATATATTAAAACAAAGAAAGTTAAATTGAGGTGGTTTTTTTTCAATAAAAATCGACATCTAATTATTTTTGCATTGCTTTCGTTTTGGGGGTTTTGTAAAGAAACATTTGTTTTTTTAAAAGTATTTACAACCTCTTTTTGTGAGGGTTATGTTTATGGGAATATTCTATAATCCTCGATAAAAATATATGTTTAAACGTGTTTTCTTTCTAGAATTGGCCTTAAAAATATTCTTAGCTCTTTTCGTATACTTAAATCTTTTATAACGGATAACAGACAATGGGTGATGTTGAAAGGCAATGAGTGAAGTATGACAAATACGTAATTTTTGGATAACAGACAATAGGTGATTTTAAAAGGCATTGAGTAAAACATGACAAATAAGTATTTTCCGGAAAAAAAATAGATACAATGAAATGAAAATGACATATGTTGAGGAGTTTTCTTTCGGCTTTGATCATACTGTACATGTTATATGTTTGAATTATTGTTCATTCCTTTGCATAAACATGTTGCTGTTTTGTTATTATTGTTGATGGGCTGATAGGTACAACAAGAAAAGTGAATGATTTGCAATAAGGATATCAGTTTTGGTGCAAATCATAGAAAAATAGAATCTTAAAATTCTCAGTTTTTATCATTTAAAAGGCCTAGTTGCGTTTTTACCATCGAGTCATCATCGCCTTTTCGCCATTGTATCATCGCTATTGCACCATCGTACCGTCGCTTTTTCATCATCGTATCATTGCTTTTTTCATTTTCGTGCCATCGCTCTTTTACCATCGTACCATTGACCTTTTCATCATCGTGCCATCGTTTTATTACCATTGTACCATTTGTTTTAATCTATAACCAATACACATTTTAAAATACCAATCATTGATTTAATTATAAATAATAAAATTTGTTATCTTCACATTTTCATTTGTGCCAAAATTCTGCATATACTAGTTGATCAAATGCTATTTAATATGTGCTTTTGTTTACATTTTAATCTTTTGCTGTAAATGTTATATCGACTTTTAACTTCGAATGTACAGTGCACTAGGATGACAACTTTCTTTTTCATAATTTTTGCAAGATTGCCTTCTGTAATGTTTCATGCTTTACATACTGTTTACTCAAAGAATATTTGAATATCAACTTTAAAACATCTGCAATATTTTGATAAAAAATATGTATACTTTACTCCTCCTTGAGTAAAATATTTTAATCACAGAAATTTATTGAAGTCTATGAATTAATCACTGGATATGTCTTTAATAAAAGAATGAATAAACTTTGTATGGGAAGCATCGTTTCCTACTACAGACAAAGTACAGTTGGTGTTTTCTTAAAAAGAACTGCCAATTTTTCTCTAAATGACACAACATTCATATTGTGACCAACTATAGTGTGTTGAATTTTTAAAACATAACATGTGGGACCACTTTATGTTAAGTCAAAACATGCTTACTATATATAATAAAGTGACAGTGGAGAAATTATCAATAACTGTAATATCAAATTTCTGCAAAGTTTATATTTTAAAAATGCCAATCACGGCCTGTTGTATAAGAGGTAATAAGACTATTTATAGCAAGAACGAACATACAAATGTACTACGTCATTGTTATCCCGGGTATAGAACGATCACATAGCATACCTCTAAACTCTTGCTATATGTATGGGATTTTTTTTAATATGCTACATTATTCGGTTGAAAATGATTTATTTCAAGTGAATACATAGTTTAGCCAAAGATAAAAACTGTTCAAATAATCATCATTAGATTATTAGATTATGCGGAGAGCGTAAATTACTTGTTGGGAATATGTTGTGAAATTAAATATCTATCAATCACATTTTAGATACACCTTTATAGAGTGACTTAGATTATGTATGCTTCAACATCTTTTTTAATCATTACACAATTCCACTTGCACGTGTTTATGATAAATCTTATATGAGTTAATGATAACTCTATCAAGTCTTTATGATAACTCTAACATGAGTCAACAATAACTGTAGCATGTTTTTTATGATAACTATATAATGAATTTATGATAATTGTAGCATGTGTTTATGATAATTTTTGCAGGAGTTTTTGATAAATTTGGCATGTGTTTATGATAATTTGTTGCCTTACCTGGACAAGTTTATCTTAAATTATCTATTATTTTTCTGCTTACATTACAACAGGTAAACGATGAAACAACGCTGAATATTTATATTTATTCTAAAACATTCCTTCACATATACTTATTATCATAATACACTGTAAAACTTGCATTCGTATAATGTTGTCATATATTTTGTAACACAAAACGGGACATCAAGAAGTTATGTTGTTGATTTTTTGCGCGTAATTTGATGAAAAATGTAATCATGAATCGTCCCATCGAATTGATATGTCTGCCTGACAATAAATGGATATTGTTGCCTAGCAACAAATGAATATATTTACCTGTAAATAAAGTCATTTATTATTTGAATTGGTGAAAAATCACATTAGCCATGTCAATAAACAGGACAGCTCACTTCATCATCATAAAATAATTGATTTATATTTTCCTGACATGTAATGAATATCAATTATAATTAAACAAAAAACAGGATTAGTTGTATTTTCATGTTATACCTATCCAATCTGATGGATAATAATCATATATATTAAAAAGAAATGATAAATGACTTTTTGATCGAGGAAACTCTTTATAATAAACAACTTTTCCCCCTGCTAACCAAGCTCCAAATGTTCCTGCTGTCATTATCACGTGATCACTCAAGGCCATAATTGCCAGATCGTCTCCAGGATTGTCGAATGGACTTATATGGACATTTTTCAAGTTCCCTTCACACCATTTCTTGTCATTTGTAACCACAAAAAATACTATGTACGATGTGTTATTTTGTAATATGTTCATTGCTTTTTCAACAAATTTTGCATCTGCTACGGCAAATCCTCTTTTTAAGAGTTCTGGGGAGCTAAAATCTCCACGACGAATATGAATTGCAAATTGTTTATAGCCTTTAGGGTTCACAAGTTTCATGTAATTTTCAGCGCGGTGAAAATGTACATATTTCAAGCGTATTGCATTTCTAACAATATCTCTTTCTGAATCAAAATATCTCCAAGATTGAAAACAACCTACCATGGTAAAGTTGTGAGATTCTTGCTTAAGTCTTGTGCTGAAGTTTCTATATATTGCTACTTTATTTGAATGAAGGAATACATTATTTGATAATTTACTCTTCTTCAAATCAACAATATTAGATAAGTCAAAATACGTGCTCAAGGGGTATGAAGAAGAAATAACTGGTATTAAATCATGTCTATATGCCAATCCCAAGATTGTAGCAGTTTGAAACAAATCGTTGCCCGTTCTTCCTTTACTTTCATCAATTGTAATAAAACGCTTACATTTAGGTGTTTCCAGGTCAGACAGAGATACTCCATTGCTGGTATATTTCCAATTAAGATGAAAATGTAAAAGTTTTGTAATTATTATATGGCTTTATAACACCGAAACATTCACGTTACAAACGAGCTGTATATCAAGACAAGACTGTAGAGTCAGGAGGTCCTGTATGATCGATACATGGACAAATTCGAACATAATAAAGTGCTTACTTTTGAGACAAGTTATTTTTGTCGGTCAGGATTCTTAATTAATTGCATTGGTAAAAAGCTAATATCACCATGACCTCGTGACTTTTTGAGTCCAACCGACCTGTGTCCTTTATCATTTAATATTTCCTGTAAATTGTCGACTTCTTACAATTTTTTTTCATTTAATTCTATAAGTATGCATTGATTCAATGAAGATATTTCATGCTCTATTTCTTGAGAAGCCTTAGTTATTAGTAGGCGTTTTTATTGTGTATGAGATTTATGATATCAACGCTGTAGGAAAATCTACCAATGGACAGACATGTTTTGGCTACAAACCCACATAGTGACTAAATGTGGAGACGTAAGGTGCACCACTCAATCAGTACTTTGAGTACTTTGATTGTATTTTGGCTTAAGACACCACTAAAAAACGGGTTAAAATTCATTGCATATCTGTCCATATTATTCTACGTTAAAAGCATTTATCACGAGCACAATATATACGACCCGACCGACAGAAAAAAACGTCTTATCAAACTACGGTGTAATGACGTAGCTGGTCTTTGGCTCTCATGGATTTTACTAGAGGGCATCACACTCGGCGCTACAACAACCCGTGTGAAACTATCTGAATACATCTTTGTCAAATCAGAAACTAGGAATATAAAACCTAAATCCGACTCTGTCATAAACATTAACTTAAGTATTGGGCACATTAATAAAATCAAAATAACAAACAGACCAACTTCCCTGGATAAAATGTGTGTGGGCGTTATAACTTTACACATTTTGTCAGGCTGGCTTAAACCAAGTTTCCAACCACTTCACGTCCTGTCCCTTGTCTTATAGCCAAAGAATATCTGCTAACAACGCGAGGATACCGTACATACAGCAAATAAGGAATATGTTGATACAACTTTATAGAAAAATAACAACTTATAGTTTTTTAGCGTAACCTTTATTTGTGTGCTTTTTTTAATAAAACAGAACTTCAAAAATAATGTAAATAAACATCCATGAATTATAGATATGTACTCAGCAGCATTAAAATGATATATGATAATTCAAACAGGTACATTAATTATATCATCCATAATGGCACATTACAAAACAACTGCTCAATGTTCAGACATTTTATGTCAAATGATTTCACAATTTCAAAATAAATAATAACACTACTTTCACGTTCACTTTTAAGACGCTAAAATATTCAACAACAACACTAACAACAACAACAACAACAACAGCATCAGCATTTTATCAATCATTACACACCAGTAAGACATATACAGCAAGTGTATTTATTCAATTAGCCTACCATATCATAGCATATAAATAAAAAAAAACTTTAAAAAAAACTGTTACATTTTACAATAAATTAAGAAAAAAAGTAGCATGTCTCACATGTTTAATTAATAACGTTAGCTTGACGACTATATTCTTGTACATATATCTTTATTTTATGCTTTTCAGTGGATTACTGATTTATCCGTGAAAATTATATTTGATAATTTCACAGTGAAAATTATCAAAATATAATTTCACTTTTTTCAATGACGAAACTACTTTTTTAAGATTTTCCCCATGTGGTACCTCAATTTTATTTTTACTGACAATTCTGACAATAACAGGCTGTTTAAAGAAAACGCAAAGCTGAAATTGATAATCAACTTAAATGTCAAAAGTAATAAAAAGAAGAAAACTTACTTCTATTCATTCAAATTCCAATCACCAAATTTCATCTCTAAATTTTTTGTTTCCTTTTTACAGTCTGACAACATTCCTTACCACATGCAAACTGCTCTCTTGATGACATTTGGCACATTAAAGTATCCTACGAGCAATAAACTGCCGTACGCTTTATGAAAAAATTGAAAAAGCAATGACAGCTATCACCTCGTAGAACAATTAAACCACCCAGCGTTCCGAGCAAGCTTCCAAGTTTTCCATTTTCCAAGCTCCTTTTTTGAATGTTTTCACATCTGTCAACACTTATTTTTTGTCTGTTTCAATCCTCAAATATGTTTTCTTTCTTTTAAAAAGGTGTATGACTAACAAATCCAAATGATATCCTCTGAAATCAAACACAATTATTTTTCCTCCCGTGAAATACACAACTTTAAAAAAATGGCTGCCGCTTACATTTAAACAAAGCCAGGTCTAATATAAATACGCAGTAAGTAACAGAAATACTGATGGATGGTTGGAATTTTTCTCCTACAAGAATTGTTTGTTTTTATTATTAAAACAAGCGATCATTCATATTTTTTAACAAAATAAATAATATCACTGTCATTTAACGTTGATTGTCGGACTTATTTTTACAGCTCAAGACTTCTTGTTTTTAATGAGAAATTCCGACTAAATGGGGCTCTCAATGGGGAAAACAGATTTTAATATTTACGTTTATGTCATGAAAATTTCGTTTAAACTTGTTTTTTAGCATAAAATAAAAAGAAAATTTGTTTGTTTGTTGTGTAAGATTTAATTTTATTTCATCTCGTGAACTTTAAAAACAGTATTCTCACTCGTGGCTACGCCACTCGTGAGAATACTGTTTTTAAAGCCCACTCGATGAAATAAAATTTCATCTTACACACAAACAAACAAATATCCTCTATATCTTTATAAATATAAAACAATATTACTACCGTAAATAAAAATTCTTATAAAAGCATGATTGTTCATTGCAACACGGCTATAAACGCTTGCATTCACAACTTTGATACAACCCTAATCGCATGATATGCATTTTTGTATGCTTGTTTGCTAAAGTGTATAAAGCTACATGTATATATCTGCTACAAAAATGTTATTTAGTTTATTTATCCATTAAATTGTACATAAAACAAAATTACAAACATTTCACAACAAAGAAATTCACACTGGATTGGAAAACAAGTAAACAGTACTTTATCAATTCCGCTTCAGTAAAAGTAAATTTTCAAAAATAAAATGCTGTGGTTAGATGTAAGCTCTTTGAATGTACAATGAAGAATAATGGAATATTTGATTGTTGAATTATCACTATAGAGATGAATAAGGTAACTTACGAAGAAATGGCTGAAGAAAGAAAAAATGTAGAAAGAAATATGATTGGTTCTATCCGAATTTTAAATACTTAGATAAACATGTAGAGGAACATTTTTTATTTGAAATTGAAAATAATTCTTCTGAAAAAAAATGTTTGTATTTTTCATCAAGAGTTCAAAACATAGTTAAATAGGTTTAAGCAGCATAATATTTTGTTCCGGAACATTTTATTCTTTTACATACATTATTCATGACAGAAACGTTTTATGTTGCATATTTTGTTAGAATCGACCAAAAGATTATAGAAACAACAAAATTTTACAAAATTGTAAAACGTAGATTGAACTTACATGTATGTTGATATGAAAATGTTTTATGCAATAACGTTTCTAATTGAATTGAATTGAATTTCTATAATTGGACAAGACTGCAGCATAAATCAGAAAGAGACAATTATAAATGCATGTATCATAATAAAAATATAAAGCACTTTATTTTCGTTTCTGGACGGATTAAAAGTGTTTAAATAGAAAATATTAACTACAACAGTGATACTAAAATACCATGACACAAAAATAACAGTATTATGGGTAGGGCAATGATATTAATACGCATATTCAAAGTTGAAACATATTACTGGGTTCCTATATTATTTTGTCCAGAGAAGTGAAAAAAAAGAGTTTGATTCAGGAATGAGAAATCTCTATCCTTGTACAACCGGTTACATTGGGATCTGGACAAGGCTTGTTTATTGACACTTAAAAACACTACATTACGGTAACGTGTTAGTATATACATGTATGTATATTGCAGATTTTCATTCGGAAGTTCTGTTTATTTCTGTTTACTGATCACCAAGAGCAATGTCAGTAATTACAGTTCACATTTAACTAGTGAATGTTTGTAACGGACTGTTGTGAAGCATTGAGTATCAATTATCGTTGTATTGCATACGTTTAATGATGAAAACATGGCTATAAAAGTAACTGCATACAAGAAGATAACGTATGTAAATGTAGGGTGTAACAAAGAAACAATGTCCATAAAGGGCGTGGCAAATCCATCATAAATGTATAAAGATATTTGTTCATCAAAACATACAGTCAAATCTCAAGACCAACAAGTCATTGATTCCAACACCTTTAAGTGTTGAATATTGAGTACGGTGCTGGGGGGGGTGCTTGTGGGATGTTGCAATTTTTAATTATCCATCATGTACAGACTTAATCAAACCGAGTATTCACCTTTTATGTGATTTTGTTGTGATTTATGCTTCCGAGGGATCACTCTTCTTCCAGATTGTTTTCTATATTTAGAGGGTGCCTGTTTATCATTATTATGGTATAGAGAGAATTTGAAATAAAACATTATTATTTTGACAACCTTGCATTAACGGCTATATTACTGAGCTGACGACAAGACATTATGTACTGTGAATGAAGAGGCATAATTTTCATTTCTTAATTTTGAATTTTTCATTCATAATTCTGTAAATGCCCTCAAAATGAATATATTAGACTGTCAAAGGAACAAAACATTTTTTTGGTCCACATAATGAATAGAATGGTGGTTTCCTAACTTGACCCGCGTGGGTCAGGTTAGAGCGCTAGGATTTCACAATTGTTGTCACGGTGAACTCTGGAAACGTTAAAGAACATGTCAAATGAATGACTAACACTTGTTTCAGTGATTCAATATCCACAATATCTGTTATTGTAACTTCAAGGATTTGTTCAAGTCACATGACTTGTTTTAAACTATTCGGTGATTCTATTGGCGTCTAAATTTTGTTCAACATATATAGATAAATTTACGCTTCAAACCCAAAATATACAGAATTAAAAACAGAAATTCAAGCTGGAGCTTT